TTGACTTAACCATTTAGACAATAATGGTGATCTCCTTTCCATCTATAATACGAAACTCAGAAATTCTACCAAGACATTTTAGGTAAACATTGCTTGAGAGGTTAATGAAATATTTTCCTTTTTCATTTTATTCAAGGAGCTAGTCTACAAACACTTATGGAGCACCTACTGTGTGCTAGGCTGCTGTGCTGTTTGGTGGAGGTCACAGTCTTGTGGGAAATCTTCCACAGGTTGATACAGATGCAAAATCGTGTGAGTGGTGCTGTTGTAGATGTGTATTGAAGGTGTGGGAATTTGGGAGGAGGAGCCCTGGAATCTGCCTGAAAGGGCAAGTGGATGTTTCAGAAACTGGTGACATTCACCCTGAGTCTTACAAGAGGGGTAGAAATTTGCTAAGTGAGGGAAGGATGCTGAGAGTATGTAGAGGGACGAGGAAGCTGATGAGTATAGCCAGGGTGATCCACGTGCCTCTGAAAGCATTCACTCAGATGTATCTGGCATGTTGTCAGAGTGAAAGCTGGTCCTTATTCCTTTCACCCATTTCTCGACCTTTCTTTTTTTTGAGTCAGGATCCTTACTCTGTTGCCCAGGCTGGAGTGCAGTGTCACGATCACAGCTTACTGCAGCCTTAGACTCCTGGGCTCCAGCAATCCTCCCACCTCAGCCTCCTGAGTAGCTGGAACTACAGGCACATGCCACCATGACTGGCTAATTATTTTTGTTTTTTATAGAGATGAGGTCTTGCTATATTGTCTAGGCTGATCTCCAACTCCTGGGCTCAAGCAATCCTCCCACCCCAGCCTCTCGAAATGCTGGGATTGCAGGTATGAGCCACTGGCCTAGTCTGACCACCAGTGTTTGAATTGCCTGGTTTGCATTGCTTCTTTAATGCCTTTTCATCACAGTCATTTTTCTTGGAAAATATGCTGGCAGAAACATGCTCGATATACACACGAATATACCACACTCACGCTTGCATATATACTTGAACTGCTTTTTGGCCTTGGTCTTTGGAGGATTTTGCTAACCTCTAGCTACTTCATGACCCCTGAGTCTAAGGGTTTCCTGGTTGATTGATAGAGTAACTTCCAGAGGCAACTGAATATTCCATGGGATTCCTTTGACTGCCTTCATTCTAGGACTGAACCTTTGATTTTGCCTCCAGAAGATATATTTCTTTCTTTTTTTTTTTTTTGAGTTGGAGTCTCACTCTGTCACCCAGACTGGAGT